GAGTCCGATTGTCGATGACTCGTTCATGCATTTCTAGTGGTAACTGGCGAATGATAAACGTCATGTTTTGCGCCAAGCCCTGAGTCTGAGCATAACATGACAGCTGGTCACGATTCAAGCGTGATTTGTAAAAAAACCTGAAAAAAGTTCCTCTACTTGGATAACCCGTTTTAACAAGATCAGCATCAATTGACTCGATACTACTCAGAACAGATTTCATAGAAGTGTTTTTGAAAGCTCCGAAAATGTCTAGGAACATTCCAAGAGCTTATTGATTGTCAAAAAAGTCTTGCGGTATTTTCGCTAGTTGGCGCTGAGAGCGCGTAGTTCTAGTTTTATTCGTCGCATCGCATTCGTCGAGCTCATTTCACGCGCTAACACGTTCTTGATTGATTGTCGTTTCTTTTAAGTCTATCGTGAGTTATAGCGTCGCAAACATGGAGCAAAATAAAGAGAAAATACGGCATATTTTACAGTACTACTACGATAAAGGCAAAAATGCATCTCAAGCCGCCAATAAAATTTGTGCAGTTTATGGRCCCGATAYAGTTTCCATTTCCWTCGCACAACGATGGTTTCAACGTTTTCGTTCTGGTGTAGAGGTGGTCGAAGATGCGCCACGCTCCGGAAGGCCTGTCGTCGAAAATTGCGATAAAATCGCTGAATTGGTGGGAAGAGACCGGCATAGTAGCAGCCGTAGCATCGGTCAAGAGCTGGGCATGAGTCATCAAACAAAATTTTATGAACAATTGAAAATTCAAACCAAATACCGCAAAAAATACCGCAAGACTTTTTTGACAACCTAATATTTCGGAACCTTTTCATTGTTGATTACTAGTGGAGTCTCTGCTGATCTGGTGTATGCATGTTTCACTTTGGACAAGTTTGTGGTATTGTGGTCCTGATAGGTACGTTCAAGATTTTCTCTAATCTTTTCAGCATGATGGAGTAAAGCTTAACTACCAAAGTCTCTCCATGAGTACGGCACTTAGCTGAACTTGAGGCATCGAAAAAAGTCGCCTTTATCATCCGTACTGGAAAGTGCACACCGATTAGGTCTTTTACCTACTCCTGGACGACGTAGAACTTTTGGACAATATTTTCTTGAGTCCGGCCAGCTCGTTGGTTTTTACAAAGCTGTTACAAGAGTTCTGCCTGTAATGTTATTTCGTCTGTTCTTAAACTTTTTGTACCTTACGTGGTGTCAGCTTGTTCTTTTTCCACCAAGGGCATCCGCCACCCCTTGGAGCTCCTGCGTTAGTGCCTTGCCCTCGTGTGGTATATACCAGTATGCAAAGAGAATATACTTAGTGTTTTCATCCATATTTAGATCTTATACTCCCTTGGTTATGTTTTTAAAAAGATTTGCTAAATCCTTAATAGTTTTTCGTTAGCTCATAGGACGATTAGAAAACTTTCACTTTCAGAATTTTAATATTGACTTGCTGGCATTAACCTTATAGTAAATTTTGTTTTGTCCTTTACCATTGTTTAGGCCATAGAACTACTATGGAATAAATAAATAATTCTTCTTCAGATGGAATTATATTCTTATCATCACGGATTATCACGGACATTAAAAGCCGTCAGACACATTAAAAAGTATATATTATAAAAGTATTCCTCAATATGAAAATCCTAACTATACTGAGTCCATTCATGCAATTACACAAACAAAGTGAGTACGCAACTTGCCTTAATTTTTTTCTAACCTTATCTAACCTATAAAAACCTGACTTAAACAGACATAACTTATACTAATGAAACTCCACTAACACAATGAAATACCTGAAGGACCTGTACACCGCGTTACTCAATCGAATAATCCACATTTAATGAATTATTTAACAGGAAATTAGCAAATTTGAATATACATATAAGTCACAACGCAATTTTGCGCCTAATTTTAGGCTCAAATATATTGTGAGCTTTTGGCTTCCAAAATGCGTGCCTGTCAAAAAGTAATAATAATATTTGCAATTCTACTGTGGCATCCTGCCGCGCTGAACCAAACTGATGGCCGTATCTCAGATTTCGCAGAATTTTGCTGAATACAGCAGAATATTTCTAAGGGCAGGTGGAGAGGCGAAAATATTAAAATAAATTAGCTGCCTGCCATGAGCAACAGTAACCAGACTTTAAGCTGAATTAATAATTTTCACAAATTATCAAGGGGAAAGTCTTTGTTGCGGCAATAAACGACAATTTGAAGTACATATCTACTATATGCCGTTGTATTTGAGTTTCAGTTTTGTGTATTTATTTATGCGCTGTTATGCCCAAAAGCCAAACCGTCAGTCTGGCAGGCACGTGACGACCATTCTTCCGCTTCAACTCTCGCTCTCACCCTCTCTCCTTTGGTTAATGTCGGTTGTGCGCACCAATGAAGTATTGTATTTTTGGCAATTACTATGCGATAAGTAAATTAGTGAGCCTTGTTGGTGCAATTCACAGCTTCAAGCTCTCGGCCGCAATTTTCCAAAATCCAAAACACAATTTTCTCCGTAAAATATTTGTTGGTTGTTTTGTAAAATATTTTCCAAAAATCTAAGCTCTATAATATTAAAGCAGGCCTGTTACCTTGCATATATTTAACTTGTTGTTTTTGTTGCTAAATTGCGCTCATAATTTGTAGTAAACAATTTTGGCAAAAGTCAAAATGAACTGCCAACTAGCCTAGGCTGTGCGGACATCGACCAACGGTGCTACCAGTGGCACCTAATTTTACTAATTTTCTATGTGAATGAAGTTGTTGTTGCAATTAAAAAATATTAGCTATTTGTTGTTAATGCTCGGTCGACACTCGTGAAGCACACTGCTTGTCGGCTCCGGTTTGTCAGTTCGCTCGAGTTTCTCCGCTGCCCTTCCTCGTGTCAGGTTATTTGCTTCGGACGCCTCAATTTCGGGCCTATTGTTTGCTTGACTTTCTCAACGACATACTTGAGTTGTTGTTGTTGTTATTTTTGTGTTGTCTTCTTGATTTTGTGTGCACGCGGTTAATTACCGTTGAAGTCTCTGCAGCGTATTCAGAGCGGTCCTCATACCCATTATTAGCTGAAAGGAAATTTTGGGTGAATTTTAAATAGGGTTGTATGGCATGCTCCGGCAATTGTCGGCGCCTGGTAATTGTTGAGACCTATTGTATCTATCGGAGGTGTCCCTCTTTATTGGTGTAGATCTGTTCTTTTAATTGCACTAATAAATTACTTAAATGGAAAGCAAATATCTATTTTATTAGCTGTGGATGGCCATTGAAACCCTTATTTGCTACAATATACTTGATCTAATTGGCTTGAGTTAATTTAGAAAGGTAGTCCTAAATATTCAGTGGACCCAAAATAGTTAAAAAAAAAGTAATTCTTGAAAATAAGTCTGGCGAAAATCAAAGTAGCCGGGTCTAGAACCAGTTTTTAGCAATGACTTTAATTTATTTTTATATGCGGAATAGGGTACATTAAGTTTATCAAGTTTATAATACCCAAACAGAAGTTCCTAAATTATAAGTGACTGTAAATGATCAGCTTGACGTGATTAGTCGATTGAGTCATGTCTACCTCTCTGTTTATGCGTGAAATAGTTTCTTAGTTTCTTGATATCGACTCTCAATACATTATTCCCCCCCCAAAGAAGCTGGTAATTTTTCGGAATGGATAACTTTTTATTTTGACAAGATATCTTCAATAATTTTGATATGGATTAATGTCCGACGCATTGCAACGATTTTCAAATAAAATATTCAGATCGGACTGCACAAGATATATCGGTCATTGAAACCTGATCGATCATGCTGATCAATTATAATAAAAATCTTTATACACCTTATTATAAGATACGCACCTGTGAAGGCTATTAAGCCTTCGGAGCTACCGAAATTATTGTTTATTAATTATTTATTTCAAAAATCGCACATCAAAATATCTATTTTTTGTATTTGTCGCGTTTTCTCTTTGCTGAAATCTCCAGTTTCTGATGGTACAAAAATTATTTACAAATGTGGGTAAAAAATAGTAGGACTTTTTAATTTGAAATTGCCCACGAAAACCCATGTGGCGGAATTTTTTTTCTAGGTTGGTGTGACTGTCAGTGCCTTGTGTACCAAATGTGACAACGAAATAATCATTAGTGTTTAGTATAAGCTTGTGTTTCTGAAGTATATAAAGTAAATTCGGCGATTTTTCGATTTTTACGATGATAGAAATTATTCAAAAAAGAAGTTCTATTGAATTTTGTGTGGTGAATCAAATTTCTGTCGTCGAAGCGTTCAGAATGTTGGAGAGGCTATCGTTGATTATGGTTTGTCGCGAGCAAGTGTTTTTGATTAGTATAAATTGTTCAAAGAGGGTGGAGACGCGTTGCCACGATGATCCACGTTCAGGACAGCCATCAACATCAGCTGATGATCACGTCAACAAAATAAAGGAATTGGTGCTTGGGAATGGACGATTAACCCTTTCATGTCATTTGTTGCTTATAGGCAACATTGCATATTTCTGTCGATAACTCCTCGAAATTTACAATCCGTTTTTTTTCGTCTCTAACGGATATCTGCGAGCACTAGTTTGCGAAGTTTCATGACGATAGCTTAACAGGTGTTCATTTGATAACTAGCTAAAGTTGCGTAAAAACTTGTGAAAACGAAAGTGACAAAAATAATCTTTGAAGAAGTTAAATAAAAAGTACTGCCATTTCTTTATACAAAGTGGTTTATTTTATAAATAACAAGTAAGAAAATGAAATAAAATTTACAGAACAAAATTGTGTGTAATATTGTGATTCCAGGAGTTTTATAAACACAATGTTGCTTATAAGCAACATTTGTCCAAAGTAAAAATTTTTTTTCTTTTAGAAGAGATCTTACAGAATCAGAAATAAATAAAATTATCAATTTTGACTGGAATAATTCTGGAAATGGGAATGAAGAAGAAGAAGAGGAAGAGAATTTRGAGAGAATCATTGAAGAAACAATTGAAGAGGTGAGAAAAAAGGGGGAAAACGTGGAAATGAATTTGATAAATGAAATCATTGAAGGCGGTGGAAATGCTGATGAAGTTGAAAATGAAGTGCTCACAGAAAAAATTGTCAGTGAAACGTATGAGAAAATAAACCTGGATAGTTTGAGATAGAGGTCAGCATGCCTACCTGATTGCGAAACTGTTTGGAAATATGGAACAATTTGTCAATAAGTCAAAGGTCCTATAAACTACTTCAATGGTGTCTTCGATGATGAAATCATAACGGAGATTTGTACCGAAACAAATCTTTATTCTATGCAAACGAATGGCGTAGAGCTTCATTGTGCACCTTTCGAAATCAGACGATTTATTGGCGTACTTTTTTATTTGGGCGTGATACAAGTTCCAAATATGCGAATGGCTTGGACGCCAAGCTTCAAATTATCAGCTGTTGCGGATTCTTTATCCAAAACACGCTTTGAGAAAATCAAAGGAGCCTTTCACCTAAATGATAGCACAAAACAGCCGCAACCAGTATCACCCGATTACGACAAGCTATATAAAATACGTCCCTTATTGGCCAGACTGAAGGAGAAATGCAACAAATTACAGCAGGAAGAACATCAGAGCATAGATGAACAGATGATAAAATTTAAGGGACATAACAGTCTAAAGCAATACTTACCCGTGAAACTCAATAAATGGGGTTTTAAAATGCTTACAAGAGCTGGACTTTCAGGCATCGTATACGAGTATACTCTCTATGTTGGAGACGGAACATGTCCATCTTTTGGATTGGGTATTTCGTCAGATATTGTGTTGTATTTGGCTAGTAATGTGAGTAGAGACAAAAATTATAAGCTTCCGAGGCAATCGGATTAAAAACTGTACGCCTTATGAATGAAAATGACCTCATGAAAAAAGGTCGGGGATCATACTACTTCAAGTATGAAGCTGTACATAATTTAGCTGCCAGTCGCTGGTACGATAAGAAAGGTGTGCAACTTTTGTCAAATTATATAGCTGAAAATCCGGTTTCACAATGCAGACGCTGGCGTCGTAAACAAAAAAAGTACATAGATGTACCAAGACCGGATGTTGTTGAATGTTATAAGAAGCACATGGGAGATGCAGACTTGGCTGACATGTTGTTAGACTTATATAAAATCAACCACCGTTCTAACAAATGGTATGTGCGCATAGTTTACTGGTGCATCAGCATAGTGGTAGTCAATAGCTGGTTTCTGCATAGACGAGACCTAAAAAATCAAGTCACACGAACGATATATATGACATTGCTGGATTTTCAATAATCTATAGCAAAGAGCTTCTTCACACGTCTAATATTACGTCAATAAACCCACGTAAAAGAGGTCGTCCCTCGACAATACCTGAAAGAATGGAACCAGGTTCATCTTCACCAGCGTCGCCGGTACCATCTAACGTGTCAGAAATTTCAATGAGCTCTTCGTCGTCAAAGCGATCATACATAAGTGAACCTCCGAAGTCAATGCGTCTTGATCAAACCGGTCATTGGGTTGAATGGGGAAGAAAAGGAAGGTGTAGATTATGCCAGACTGGTATTCCAAAATCTAAATGCTCAAAATGTAATGTGCACTTATACTGTAACCCACAGAAAAACTGTTTTGTCCCATATCACACATGAAATGTATGAAAAGTAATAAAAAAATTAAAACTATCAATATTTGTATGTGTTTGATTGTATACTACCATGGCTCAATGYTGCTTATAAGCAACATCTTATAACTCAAAAACCAGAAGAGATACAGGTTTGAAATTGATATCGTTTCATATTCAAGGCTCAAATAGTATCCCCATGTACTCAAAATATTTTTAAATTGGCCCAGCTTAATTATGACATGAAAGGGTTAACAGTCCGAGATTTGACCATTTCGGATGATCATTTGAGCCTAAAATAAGTGAAAGAACGATTGTTCCAAAATCACTCAAACAGAGCGCCGAATTCCAACTACTCGGATGTCATGAAACGTATTACTATTGGTGATGAGTCTTGGCTTTATCCTTACGACCCGGAAAAATACGATCAATCGACCGAATATCTTGGCAAAGATGAGTCTAAGCCGAAAAAAACCACGTCAAGTCAGGTCAGAAATCAAGATGATGTTGACAGTTTCTTCGATTATCGAGGTGTGGTGTATTCCGACTTCCTTCTGATCAACCAAACTGTCAGAAAGTAATACTATTTGAGTGTTATGCGTCGTTTGCGTGAAGCTATTCGTAAACAGACACCAGAATTATGGACCGACAACTCCTGGCTTTTGAATCACGACAATGCAGCATCTCATAATACGTTAATTTTTTCTGAATTTTTCGCCAAATTTTCAAGCAGTACCATTCTGCTGCCACCGTGTTCGCCGGATTTAGCTCCGTGTGACTTCTAGATATTCAGCAAACTGAAACTACGGATGTCGCTGCGGGGAAACCGTTTTGAGTCAATTAAAGACATTAATCGTGAAACGCTCCGCCTATTGAATGATGACGGAAATTGACTTTAACAAATGTTTCGAAGATTGCAAAAAAAAAAAAAAAAAAAAAAAAAAAAAAAAAAAAAAAAAGCACAGGTATATTGGGCCCACGCAGAATTACTTTGAGAGTAATGACATAAATTTGGAAGAACAAATTAAAAATTTTAAAACTATGAAGAAAGTCTTACTATTTCTTGGTCATGGTAACATATTATTATATTGCAAATTTTTCTGTATTTTCTTTTTGAATAGCAGAGTTTTCATCTCAATTTTCGTTTAAATATTAAAGTCCTTGAAATATATTTCCTTTCACTTTTATTATATTATCTTTCTTTTCCAATGAGTTTTATCGACCTATTGTAGTAACTCTTTGTTTTTGGCTACAAAATGATACTTCCTGGTTCTCGAAGTTAACGTTTTTTTCTCCTTTGAATTTAATGATGAGTTATTTCCTACTGAAATCGTCTACGTATGCCTATACTTAGTCTCTAATGGTGGCTGGATTAAGAAATAAACATAGCGCCTTCTCTTTTCTCTTATTGCTGAAACTGAACTACTTTTACCATTTCTTTGTTCACTCAGTTTAAGCTTTTCACTCTTATCAAGAAAACTACCTCTATAGACTAACCAAAGTTATTGCTTTGAGGTTGAATACCGAATATATACTATACATTCCTATGTATATGTACCTGATTAAAGTGCTAAATTCCAATTTAGTTCTAATTATATTTAGTTTATACCACACCATTTAATTATGTTATTATTTGATGGCAGTTGCTTGCTTGATGGGGCGCCTGCTGATTGGCTGTGTTAAGAGAAAGACCTTTTGTTGAGTTATAGGTTTTGATGGAAATTATAGTTTCAAATCTTCACCAAAAAATTTGCATTCAATAAACTCTGTAACACATGATTGTCAGTGGCAAAAGCTTCTCAATGAGGAGCATGTCTTGGTATAAAACTATTCTTCTTCGAATCGTCCTTCTATTTCTTACTCTGACGTTATAGTATGACATTGATCATCGATAATAGTTTTAATTTAACAATTTATTGGTCGCTTTTTTAGCCAAGATTACACTCAAATCTTACATTTTTTAATTTTTTGTGTCATCGCTCTTTCATCTTATTCAATAAAATTGCTGACTATGACCGGTAACCTTCTCCAAAACTCTATGAAGTACTTTAACAAGCGCTATAAAAATTGAATGAGGTTATAAAAGGAAATTCACTGTATATGCGTCGGATTCAAGTTAAAACATGGAAATTAGGGAAGTACAAAGTGTTTTTTCATTTAACATAGTCCGCATCTAAATTATTGCTGCATTATTTTCCTTAATTTTTCCACTCCTCCCTAAGAAAGGTTCTCTAGAATAATTTAACAACAATTCTCTTTACTTAAACATTTTTATTTTTATTAAAAATACAACAACAACCTATATATTATTTAATTTTCATTTAATCGTCACTTCATATCTTTGTCAGTTCTTCTTCAAAGTAGTCCTGTGCTTGCAGCACTGTGAAAGAATCCGCATAGTCTTCTGGCTTTACAGCCCATGCCCTCTCACAGAGTACAGCGAAGAATATAAGTACGAGCAACCACAAGAATTTCGAGAACATTTTTTCCGCGTTCAAATTTTGGTTAGTATATTCAACAGTTTAATGATAACTAAGCTTCGAGCTTCTTTTCGACTTTTTCGAGCTTTGATCCAACTTTTGTATGAAAAAATGTGTTCTTGAAAATGTATAGTTTATACAAATGTATTTACTAAGAACTATTTGTAAATAAATGTATACATATTTATGTATGTACAATACTTATATATGTACAAGTAAGTGAGATATATGTATTGAGGTGATTTTTTTCTTTTTTGGAGCTTGTTTGAACAGTCGTATTTATTTAGTTTATTTAGACAAATGATAGTTCTAATTTAAACTCTCTAATCCCACCACAACCAGAAACGTTTCTAACAATGCGAACTTGTTATTTTGAAGTTAAAATTTATTTTTGTGTAACTTAAATATTTGCTCTTCCCATGCAGACCTTTTCCGCATTCCTCTTTCTAGCCACTCTTCCTGCCCATCGAATAAATTGAGGTGAAGACTTAAGACCATATCTCTAAATGTATGACGAATGAGAAATTTAGTCTTAACATATACACTAGGTTATGCTAACCTCATGCTCTTTCATTCGAAAGCTAAATTTTGGCGGCCTAAGTAAAGTATAGCCTCACTTCTTATGTTAGCTTCAACTTTCTAAAAGCTTATTATAAAACTTAATTCCCTAATATACATCGTGTACCAATTACTTTCGGTCTTGCACGTCAAAAATCACCAGATCGAAATAATAGAACATTTAAGGCATTTGATGCTGTCCATATTCTTGTAAAACATACATAGATAAATGGAGAACCTTTATGAGATTTCCTATTTGTTTTTTTTTTTTTTTTTTTTGAAGAAAAAACTTCAAATTTAATTGGGCTGTTTTTTATAATTCGAAAGAAGAATCTTTGGCATTTATTTTTTGAAGATTATCCTTTCCAAATGTGGGCCACGGCAACGTTTCCGATGGTCCATTCGTTGAGACTAATTTTCGAACATTTCGAATGATAACTGGCGAATGACTCGCGTGATGTTTTGCTTCAAAACTTTAATCGAAGTGGGATTGTCTTAGACTTTAGTCTTTACATTATCGAAAACATCGGAACTTCTTTGAACTTCTCAAGAGCCCATAGAGCGTGCTGAACGTCGTCTATTCGGTCGAATATTATCCAATAATGAATGTTGGGTCTCAAGATGAGTGTTAGTATTGCGAATAGTTGCTCAGTAAGCCGACATTAAGACAAGAGGCTAAAGAGTGGTGTGAACCTGGTTGTTTGGCTTCGAAACGAGTTTGTGTCCGGAAATCGGACAGGATGGTTATGGCATAAGTTTTTTTGGGAAGCGACAGAAATTTTGTTTGTAGATGACTTGCAAACTGGTAAAACAATTAATTATGAGTATTATTGCAAATTTTTGGACCAGTTGAAGGAAAAAATTCCTGAAAAAAGACCCGGTTTGCAGAAGAAAAATATCCTTTTTTCATCAGGGTAATGCACTGTGTCCAACAATGGATAAAACCCATTAAATTGTGAATTGTGAATTAAATTTCGAATTGTTAAAGCATCCTCCGTACTCACCATACTTAGCCCCAATGACTTTCATTTCTTTCCAGAAAAAAATTTTGCGTGGCAAGGCTTTCAAGGTCATTGGTCTGCTGAAGCGTATTTTACAGACCTTCCGATTTTTCACTTCAGGGATGGAGTCCACAGATTGGTTGAATCGTTGGAGCAAGTGCAAAAATGTTCAGGGGTTTATAAAATTGTGTTTTTCTTATCAAACTATAAAACTATTTGAACGAACTCGTATATGTCTTATTGAAGAATACATTTTCCGTACAAAATTTGTTTGATTTAATTTTAAAGCAACACAGCACAGAAAAATAGTAAACGAAAATCTCATGTATCTATTCAGAGTTAGTGGCCTGTATGGCACTCCTCAGTTTTTGAAATTTCGCCGCGGTGCCTATGTCAGTGTATACCTTTGTTCTGTCTTGCTGCTTTAATAATTTTTTCCATGCTATATATTATTTAACTTTAACTGCTCCTTCAAATCAGTTGGGTTGAAAACTTTCCTCCAGTATGAGAAAAGTAACTTGTGAAATCTTCCAACAGGCGGTAGGAATAATATTTTATAAATATTTGGGACGGGCTGGCACTGCGCCGCAAAGTTTATTAATCATTTCTCACATATTAGAAATGATCATATTGGATATAGATATAGTATATAACGTATAGTTTACTTATACGTATCATAAATATATTAATTTGTAATTTCGTTGTCTGTAGAGGAATACATGCTAAGCAAGTGAAAAATATTGACGAGGTCTTTTTTAGTTTAAATTATTAGGTTGTAAAAAAAAGTCTTGCGGTATTTTCGATAGTTGGCGCTGAGAGCGCATAGTTCTAGTTTTATTCGTCGCATCGGTCGCATCCTTTTTGGAAAGCTAATTTCACTCATTTTACGCGCTAACACGTGTTTGATTGATTGTCGTTTCTTTTAAGTCGTTCGTGAGTTATAGCTTCGCAAACATGGAACAAAGTAAAGAGAATATACGGCATATTTTACAGTACTACTACAATAGAGGCAAAAATGTATCTCAAGCCGCCAATAAAATTTGTGCAGTTTATGGACCCGATACAGTTTCCATTTCCACCGCATAATGATGGTTTCAACGTTTTCGTTCTGATGTAGAGGAGGTCGAAGATGCGCCACGCTCCGGAAGGCCTGTCGTCGAAAATTGCGATAAAATCGCTGAATTGATCGAAAGAAACCGGCATAGTAGCAGCCGTAGCATCGATCAAAAGCTGGGCATGAGTCATCAAAAAAAATTTTATGAACAATTGAAAATTCAATAAAAATACCGCAAAAATACCGCAAGACTTTTTTGACAAACTAATATATATACACGATTAAGTATAAGAACTTTTACATTTATTTCAAAATCATATAGTTTTTTTTTTAGTCCAAATGTATTTAAGTATCTAATGTGTTCTCTTTTTCTCTTTGCAGATAAATTAAAATGCGCGCTTGGCATAATGAAAAAAATGCACTACACACTTAAATGAAAACACTTTAAAAGTTTTAAAGCACATAATGCGAAAGGAGAATTAAAGAAAATAGTATACAAATAAAATAATATAAACTCACATTTATTGCACAAAAACAACAAGAATGCCACAACATTGAAGTACTTTGAAGACAGCTGCTTGTTGTTGAAGAAAATTGTGAAGAGCAACTGCTTATAATGCGTTTATCTAAAATAACCTATCACATAGGTTTCAAAAATGGTGCACATAAACTCGAACAACAACAACAGCAGCAGCAACAGCTTGAGCATACAGCAAAACTTCAAGCGACGGCTGGCGGCAAGGTTTGCTTTGACTTCGTGGGCTTTAAGTTTGACTTCGATTGTTTTACAAATATATTGACTCTTTAAGATAGTTAGCATACAGTTTTTAAAGTAGTAAATTTCATTTGTATTTGTTTTTGAAGGTCAGTCCATATTTTCTACGATTTTTTTTTTTTCATTTTATTTGTATTAACATTACTCTTTTAATAACTTTAACGACTAGGAGGGACCTTTCCGATCCTGACGGAGCTTTTGGTGTTGTTCAACGTCCGTACACAGCCGTATTAGATTTGCGAAGATACCAAGACCAGTAATTGTGGCATAGAGGCAGTTCTATTTCGTGTTGTCGAAGTTTGATTTTATTCGTCTTTTCAAAAAAATCTGCCCGAGAGTAGATTTTCTAGGTCAAACGTCACACTGATATGGTCCAATCAGTTTTTGACGGTGGGCTTCAGTCTTTCACATACTACTATATGCTATATCAAGGAAGCTTATCCCGCCTGATTCCTAATTTTATGCGACCATATCTTGCAAAGAAGCTGATGCATGCTCCGCCGTGTTTGAATAGTTCGCCCAGTAATCCATCGGACGCTGTTGCTTTGTTGTTCTTTAGGTGGGTAATTGCTAGTCCGGCAATGGGACACCTATTCCATCGTCATCGATTGGGAATCGGTATCGCCATCTCTTGGTGTTACACTTTCATTGCAGTTCAGCAGACTGGAGAAGTTTTTCTTCATAACTTCAATATGCTCTGAACATCAGCCACTAGATTACTACTTTGGGTTCTACAAGAGTATGCTCCGCTTTTAAGACCTTCTACCAGTCCCCGCATCTTTTCGTAGAATTTTCCAGCATTAACCCTGTCGGTCAGATTCCCAAAGTCTTCAAATTCACGCATTTCGGCCTCTTTCTTATTTTGTCTGCATAAGCGTCCCGTTTTCCTCTTCAACTCTCGGTATCTATCACACCCCGCGCGTGTTGTGGTCAATCGTAACATTGTGAGGTAGTTTGTCTGTCTTCTCTCCACTGTGACATGATACTCCTCGTCGTGCCAACTGTTATTTGGCATCTTACGAAAACCAATGGTTTCGGTTGCCGCTATACGTAAGGAGTTTGAAATGCCCTCCCATAGTTTCCTTATACCTAGTTTTTGACGAGTGCTCTCAGAGAGCAAGAGTGAAAGTCGAGTAGAAAATTGTTCGGCTAGCTGCTATTAACGCTCACTTTATACCCGTACACTTTCTCTAATTCTCCAAGCCTTAGGCTCGAAGCCATCATCATGTCCACTATGTTTCAAAAAAATCGCCTTTCTTTGGAAGATTTGATATGTATAATAACAAGAAAGGCTTAGACCCTATTTTATTTGAGGCCTAAAAATTTAGTTTAGCTTAAACTTACAACGAAGCGAATATTCTACGAAAAGCGCCGATATACTTGAACTATATATATTAGTTAATAAAAAATCGATTTTTAAATAGAAGTGTCTAATGCTTTCTCTGCCTTCCGCAGCGCTTCAGCGGCAGCCATAGCAACAACAGCAATAGCAATTGTGGAAGCGCACGCGGCAGTGGCAGTGGCAGCGGCAGCGGTGTTAGCGGTGGCAACGCCACCAACAATCGCAACAGCATTGGCAACGGCAGCTGTGTGTCGACGTCGACTACCTCAGCAGCAGCAACATCAGCGGCAGCGGGAACTGGCAAGCGACGCAAATCAAAGCCGACAAAGTGCTTTAGTAGCACAGTGTTTCGCTGTTGTATACCTTGTCGCGGGGGCGGCTCAGCAGCCCCCGCTACAAGTCCGCCTCATTCGCCCGCAACGCCCGCGGATGATGTAAATAACGGCACTAGCATAACCGCAGCAATCCAGAAAAAGTACGCGAAAGCAGCAAACGAAAAGAAACGAGATAGCGGCAACATAAGTGCACCCTATGCCGAACTAGATGCCGACGTAGACGCTGACGTCGAAGTTGAAGCAGTAGCAGCGAACGGCAAGAAGCATTCGCTAGCCGACACAATTGCCACCTCGGCAACCACACCCATATCTTTAAAAACCATTATAAACGACAATGATGAACTCGAGCCGCCGACCTTGAGCGTAGCCGACATTGCAGCCGCCACACTTGCCAGCGGTATCGTAGCACGTAAAGCCGAACCGGAAACACTGAGTGACGCCAGTGTCTCACCGACTGCTGCTATACAGCAGCCACCATACCTGGGTGCGCCTATTAACGTCCCACAAGGTTTGAATGCCAACGGCAGCGCCGCTTTAAGCATCAGTGCTCAGCAAATATCACCAACTAAAACGCCTAGTAACGTGTCGACAGTGACGTCCCTTATCACTGTTATTGGGCAAATAAGTAACGCAGCCACACTGCAGCAGCAACAGCAAACTCAACAACAACAACAACAGCAACAGGTACCACCACCACCGCCACCCGCCGCGCAATCAGCGCCACGCGTCTCGCAATCACAAACCTCGCCACTACCGCACATCAAAGAGGAGGAAGAATCCGAGCATATCGGCAATCGGCACCAATACTCACCGCCCGTCGACGCCGAGCAGGCTGTTGGCGGCACCTTAACTACTGTTAGTGACAGCAGCGAAAGCACAAACGCACCCCAATCCACAAACACATCGTTCTCAGCGCCGACCAGCGGCCATCAGGAGTTAGTCACACCAAGCGCTTCAACTCCTTCACCACGCATCAAACTCAAATTTCGCAAGCAACACAAATCGGCTTGGTCTCGTTCGGTACTTGCGCCCAGTAGCGCCACCAGCAGCGTTGCTGGTGTGGGCGGTGGTAGCGGTGGTGGAGGTGCTGGTGGCGGCAGTGGCAGTGGCGGCGCTACCTCCAACGAAACCCTCGCTTCGAACGGCAGCAACACCAACACAGCGACCAGCGTCAGCAGCGGCGGCTTACATCGCATCTCATTGTCTTCAGTGCCACACGCGTCCAGCTCTGCACAGCTTCTACCAGCTACCAAGATGCAGGCCGAACAGGGCTCCATTGGCGATTTGCAGAAATACCACAGCAGATATTTGAAGAATCGACGGCATACACTAGCGAATGTTCGGTAAGTACCTCGCAAGCTTAAGTTATATACCGATATTTAACACTTTAAACTATACTTAAAAGCATTTTCGCAAAATTTTTCGCATCCCACATTTTTTCCTTTACTTATCTCTTCGGTAAATATAAATTTTGTACGCCGCTCGCATTCGCGAATTCTTTAATGCACCATTTCAACATGCAACAGCGATAAACGCTTGTAAAAACGGTTTAATCGAAGCCACCGACGTTCGTTACTGCTGTGTGGCATTCGTGGCACGTGATCGCCATGCGAATTATTCAAATACACTCAATTTGCGTTGAGCGGCGGGCGATGTCACTTGAATTGACTACAAATTGAGTATTCCCTGTCATCTTGATGACATTAACGGGTCCAGTATGCGCTGAATGTAAAAAAAAAAAAAATATTGACAGAGAAAGGACAAGGGCGTTGACAGTTTGAGTTCTGAAGCAAACAGACGTAAATTTTTTGCACAAACAGAGGTGAAAAGGGGAGTTTAACACTCTGCCGTTCACAACGCCGTTTTCAGTAAGCCGTTAGTATTGAGAGAATATATTGAACCTCGACGTCAAACATAATTGTTAAGGAAGTGAAGTTTGTATACTAAACTTTAATATACCTGGCAGTAACCTCTTCTCATAGGGGCTCAAAATTTGGTTTATCCTTAGCTTGTTTTGCCGTGGAGCTCATCCGCATTTGTCTTTTCAAACTAGTACAGCGACATCCTCATTGTTCTAAGGCACTGTATTTTTTCCATTGCGTTCAATATTTTACTTATATTCTTGTTACCGGGTTTTGAATCCAACCCGTGTGTCTCTGATGACCCGGAAAACGGATAATAAGTTTTTATAAATCTTCTAGCAGATTTGACCCAAATCTCGTATTTGTTCTCAATAATTTATTCTACTTTGTGATGGATTCGCTTCATGATGTTTTCAATTCTAAGGGCCAGGCTATTCGGAAGATTCGTTACTGATATCATTTAGCAAGTATTTGCTTTTGAAAGTTTCAAATAACTAAATTTAATAATTCAAAGCTCTGACGATCGAAATGAACTTCATACCAAAATAATCTATCAGCTTAGTGTGAACTATTCGCGATCCTTACGAATCTATGTCGAAGGAAAAGTAAAGCTATATTTTATTTCAATTATTTATTTACAATTGTTGTCATCTCTTCTTGTTGTCGTTCGCTTTCGAACTAATACTTTTTTCTTGATTGTTTTGCGAGTTACGGCTGCTTTCTTGGTTGTTCGTCGAGTGTTGTTCTCACCGCAGCTAGTCTGTTCGGTGCTACGGTTGTTTTAGCTGCAGTTTTGACGAAACAGTACCGCGTCTGCGCCTCCGAAGCACTTTTCTTTTGACAGGGGTTCCTTTAGATTGGTCGAATTAAATAATTAGCTTTTACTAGCATGTTTAAGTTGAATAAGTTCTACCTGTGCTGGATCCTTCCACAGCTGCGGTAGTGCTATCTGTACTGCTGTCATAATCAGATGAATGGTATGCGGTAGATTCATCTACTGGATCCTCACTGCTGTCGTCTGCAGCCGGAGCGTCTGTCGACATTCCGGTGCTAGATCGTCTGTACTTCCCTCTGTAGAGTTTTCATCGGAGGATTCACCATATGTTGTTGGATAGTCTGTACTTCCGTCATCATAATATTCGGACGAGTCTTATTCTGCATAGCTTGATAGAACAGCTGTAGTTGCATCGGCCACATGGACGCCGGTGCTGGCCAAAGCAACAAAGAATAAAACGGCTAAGAGTATAAATTGTATCTTTAATGACATCTTTGAAGAAACTATGATTTGGAGGTGCAAGTTTTGACTGTCATTTAGCGGTGCCGTAACTTGGTTGTTATATACTATGGTTTTCAAAGCAAGAAGTGTTGTTTATATATCTGGATAAGAAGTTTGCAAAGTGTGTAAGCTTAAACTTTGCTTTTAGTAGTTTTTCATTTTCTGTTATTTTTGTACCTACTGTATAACGTCTGTATTTGGTAATTTCACAGTTTGTTGATTCTGAGGACATTCCATTTTTAATTCGTGTTGCCCCTAATAGAGCTCATCTGACGGTTTCTTCTGTGGAATTAAAGGAATAATATTATAGTATCTCAAGCCGGCATCTACCATACCTCGCTCTGATGTTTTCTGACGTTCGCAATTTCGGAACTGTTTAAAATTGATTTTAAAATTGTTATTTAATTTCATAGGATGTAGCCTGTGCAATGTATTTCTTAATTACTTATCGCTGTAAAAGTCCTCTTCTACTTTCGAACGCCGTATTAAACAGATGTGTTTGAAATATTAGTCCTGTATTCAAAGTTGAGCAACTTTTGAGATCGCTGAGATCCCATTACGAGCGCATGCTCGTAAACCAGCAGGCGCTCGTCATTCTTGCGAAAGAGCGAGCGTTGCACCAGTGTGCTCTCGTTAATTATGGAGTGGTTAGCGGTCATTATCAAGCAGAATCGGCGCGTTCTGCTATTCTTACTTCATTTTATGTAGACAACTTCCTTACGAGCTATACTGACGTTGAAGAAACAGTCATTTTAGTTAAGGATGTATACGTGATTTTGTCTGGTGGTTGTTTTAAACTTCGAAAGTGGAATTCTAGTAGAGCCGCTGTTCTAGCGAATCCTCTTCTCTACAATATTCACTTACCTATAGCTACAGTGTTAGGGCTGCATTGGGATCCGGTGAGTGATGAATTGCTGTTTAAGGTACCACTGAAGCAGTTTGATAAAATGCTGACGAAACTGCGAGTTCATAGTCATGTAGCCCTGTGTGTGATCCCACTGGATTTTTGGCACCAGTCATTATATTGGGCAAGCTATTTATACGAACTTTTTGGTCTTCGGGTTTATCTTGATATACTCCACTATCTAAAGATCTCTGTTGGTCTAAATTTCGAAATGACTTTTGTACTCTCGATAACGTTCGTGTATCGGCTTGGTATAAATGTAACGAATCGTACTCCTCTCTATAGATTTTGTGATGGCAATCAAAAGGCCTACGCTACAGTGGTTTACGCACACACTACCGACAATAATGACAATGCCAAGGAATCCTTGCTTACCGCACGCCCCAAGGTTGTTGAAAGGAGTCACAATCCCTCGACTAGAACTAAGTGGAGTTCTTCTATTAGCCAAGACGATTTGTAATATTCGTGGAGCCCTAAGTTTAGAGGACAACTATGTGCACTTATTGATGGACTAGCACTTCTACGCATCCTTTGTCGGAGCCAATCAGATATTAATGGAAGATCTAGCTGCTTGACACAGTGAAGAGAATCAACAATATATCGCCAACGTTGGGACGAGTTGCACTTTATAACACCTAGTGTCCCCCATCAAGGTGGTTTGTGGGATGCTGCCGTGAAGTTCGCGAAACGACATTTGGTTCGTGTCATAGGTAGCCAGGCGATGTGGCATTCGCAATTACAGAAACTGGCGGCACGAATTGAAGCTTGTTGTTGACTTCGCGTCAGCTTATACCGTTGATTGATGACTCGGAAGACAAATATGCGCTAACACCTGGAGACTTCCTCATTGGTGCCCCTTATATCGCAGTGCCAGAACCGACAGTGACAGATATTCCAGCTATCCAACTAAAGCACGGACAGTGATTACGACGTATCCATCAACAGTTCTGGCATCGGTGGAGTGAGGAGTAAATGGCGGCCCTACAACCACTTAGTAATTCGTAATTCCTGGTTCGAATTATTACTTCTAATAGAGTGTGCACTCGGGCAGTACAAAAATTGTGTTTGAGTAGGATATTAGGAGATAACATTGCTAAGACTATAAGAGTGACTATTTCTAAATAACCAAAAAAAAAAGCTTGTACAAAACTTCGAGATGGTCTATGGAATGTTCAAAATATGCCGAAACCGTACAGAAGCTATACGTCTAATGCTCTTTGTGACAGACCCAAAGATTAACTTAGCCTCGAAAGCGGTCCAGTGCTATTAGGTTTTTTGTTTGTTTCCGAAGGGGGAATCTTCCATAGATAACGATATCTAGTAGTATACAGTATACAAGATTCGTAATGCTCGCTAAAGGGACCCTCCACTCGGGATCACGCCTAGTCAATATTATGTAACTATCTTGAAGTTTCGAAACATTACGCTTACGTATTAAACCCTTAACTCCGTCATATGTAGCTATGTGGAAAGGCGCTAAGTATTGTCTCGCAGGGCCAGCTTTGCCTATTGGCTCACGTCATTAGCTCGCTATTCGCGGCTCTATCTTCACTGCTTCTTTGCTGTTCGGCTCTTCTTTATTCTTATAGTATCAGAGCTTTCGCACTGCCCATTGTATACCGTACTTGTCTCGTTTGCAGCATATAAGGCACTATATATTATCAGATGTTATCCGGTCTGATACTTCTACAGATCCGGACGTGTTGTTGTAAATCTCGGGGAAGCAAGTAAATACATTGGCATGTCCACATTCTTTTAGAAAATGCGTCTTGAAAAGTCTATCTCGCCTTTCGAGATATCATCTTCATGTCAGCATCTTCGCATTTATCTTCTTTGTGGTCATTCTCCTCGCTATAACCTTCGTACTCGTCGTATTCTGGTAATTTATTGTCTAAACCGTCTTTGTTGTAGTTATTTTCTTCGTTTTCGTCATCACCCCCAGCATCGCCTTCATTTTCACTATTCTATTTGTCGTTATCGTCTGTCAAGTAGTCCTCCCTTCTCATAGGTGCTCAAAATTTGCTTTAACTTGAACTCGTCTTGCTGTGGAGATCATCTAACTTTATCTTTTCGAACTTGAACCAGGCCATCCCTATTGTTTTAAGGTACTAGATTCTATCATTTGACTTAAATATTTTACTTATATTCTGCTTGCCGGGATTTAAATCCAGCCAGTGTGTATCCATGACCCGGAAATCGGTAATAAGTTTGTATACATCTTTTAGCAGAGTTGTGTCTAAGTACTTGTCTTTGTTCTTAAGAATTCTATCTTGTTGCAGATTCTATGATATCCTTGATTTCTGAATTCTATGGTTCATTCTCTTTGAAACATTCTGTCATTACTGATATCATTGACCTGGTAAATTTGACTAGAGCAACTCTTTTTTAGCTACGATAAAGCTTCAAATAACTAAATACAATAGTTCTAAGCTGTGAAGATTCAAATTAAATTGATATCAAACTAATCTATCTGCTAATTGCGCACTTTCCAAGTTCCTTTCAAATCAATGTCGAAAGAAAAATTAAATTTTTTTTATTACAACAATTTATTTAGAATCGTTCAGCCCTTAACCTCTTCTTCCTTGTCTTCGAACTACTCCTCTCCTATTGGCTGCTCTGCGTGGTACTACTGCTCTGCGAGGTACTACTGCTCTGCGAGGTACTACTGCTCTGCGAGGTACTACTGCTCTGCGTGGTACTACTGCTCTGCGAGGTATTACTGCTCTGCGAGGTACTACCGCTCTGCGAGGTACTATTGCTCTCACGGCAGCTCTTCTTCTTGCAGTACGCCTTCTAAGAGGAATACGGCGAGTGGTCCTTCTTCTTCTACGAACACGTGGGGAAACAGTAACGCGTCTGCGTCTTCTAACCACTCTTCTTTTTACAGGTGTTCCTTTCGATTGGTGAAATTAAATTATTTTACTTTTATTGGTTTGTCTAACTTGCAAAATATTTTTATCTCTTATCCTACCTATGCTGGATGAATTGTTTGTGGTAGATTCATCTACTGGATCCTCAGTGGTGTCGTCTCCAGCTGGAGCGTCTGTCGACGTTTCGGTGGAATCATCATCAGAGTAATATGCTGGATCGTCTGTACTTCCCCCTGAAGAGTTTCCATCGGAGGATGTATATGTTGGAGCGTCTGTACTGTCGTCATCATAATATTCGGTCGAGTCAGGTGTTGTTGCATCGGCCGCATGTACGCTGGTGCTGGCCAAAGTGACAAAGACCAAAGCGGCTAAGAGTATAAATTGTATCTTTAGTGCCATCTTTGCAGAACCTTTGCTCTGGAGGTGCTAATTTCGACTGTTCCTTAAGTGCAATTTGCTTGTTATATACCATGCTTTTAAAACAAAAAGTTGTTTTTTTTTATTTGTGGAAAAAACTACAGGCTTTGTAAACTCAAAGAAAGTCGCCCTGAACACTTTACTTGTTGTAGTTTTTCACTTTCGTAGGTAAACAATAAAAACTATTACTATTTGCACTCAAGGTATAACCTCAGTAATTGGTAATTTCTCAGTTTGGTGATTATTAAGATATTCTATTTTTAATTCTTTCGTCCCTGAAAGTTTCTTCTTATTATTAGAGGATTACTTCAAAGACGTCTACAAATATAATTTTATTTAACTCCGTTTGATGCGTGGGGCGACAATAGAAACGTTAAAGTCTATTCTATTTAATACAAAAGTCTCTCAAGTCGGCATCTACTAAAGGGCGACCTAAAATTTTCGGACGTTTGCGATTTCGGGACAATGGTGGGTTAATATAAAGAGTCGGTCTGTAAAGCTCATCAGTATTTTTGCATACTGTACGAGTATGATGTCTAAGTCATCTGCAATGTGTCCATAAAAAATGTGTGTTTCTTTTCGCGATCCAATTAGTTAATCACTGATTATGTATTCCCTGTTATCGGAACCTTATTGGAACCGAAGTCTTAACAGAATTTGCTTTATTCATCAAGTGAAAACGTTTCTATATGATCCAGCCGAAAATAGATGTTGCAATTCTACGCATACTTAGGGCTAATCTGGAGAAGGACGTGGTAACAAGCTTTGTTATAAAGACAAAAATTTACATCCATTTTGCTGAATAAAAAAATTCAAACGCAAATTAGTGTTAACGTTGTCAGTAAGGAGTTTACCATTACAAGGTCAGATATGTGATCATTCCCTGGTCTATAGTTCTGTCTTCTACGATTTCATCAGCAAACTTGTTTCTTCGAGAATACTGATAGTGGCTGAGAACGTTGTTGTAATATAACGTCTAAAATGAACTTTTCGAGCTATACAATCTCTTTAATCTCTATATACAGTAGAGGTTAAAATGTACCTCTAACCTTAACAATGTGTATTGCATTGTAACCATTAAAAGCAAACAAAATTGATAAAATCAGATACTTAGAACTCAACTTTTACAGCTACTGACGCTGGAACTCTTTTAGTAAAGTTCTCTATATTCAGTATGATTTTCAAACTTATATGTATATGTGGTTCTAACCCTTCATGCAGAAATGAACTGTGGTTTCAAAGTCTCAGCTTAACAACAACTCCTGTGGCCAATTATATTTTGCATTCGGTTCTTTCTTTAGCACAACAAATATTTGAACAGCAGAGTTTTCAAATAGTGGAATTCTTAATATTTTGTCGCTGTAATCATCTGTTATGTAATAAGAACTTGGCAACATCGAAGAAAGAAGGAGAAGTTTGTCATTGTGTGTAATTTAAGATCTGGCTTGTGATCCGTACTTAGTACTTTACAATTACTAAGCAAATATTATACCCTTCTTTGAAGCAGTCGTCTGCCTTCGCGGTTTGAAAACATTTTTTTGCTCTACATAATTCTATTGAAAACATAAATGTTATCATGGCCTGTAGGGAATTTTTCGAAAGCATGTTGGCTTAGAAGATATAGAGTCCATAAGTTAGAGTTTGTACTAAACGATTCGATTCTGTATTCGAATCTGTAAATTTTTCTTCTTCTAGAGTTGTAGAGCAAAACCATTCTCTGCGAGACCATGCCAGTTGTACGCCAAATTTTCGAACCGTCACTAAAATTGTGGCTCGTCTCATTAAATCTGTAGTAGACGTCGCATACAGCCATCCATGACATTTCCTGGATTGCGGTGATGTCAGCTTTGTATTTTTTCGTGGACATTCATCAGCTGGATAGCGACACCTTCTTTACAGAGGGTGTAGGTATTCCAGGTGCGTATCCGTAAATAGAGTTCCCTTGTGAATTTCCTGTGGTCCTTGTGTATGGGGGTCAATATTTGAGGCTTTTTTGTTCCTTTCATTAGACATTTTAGTGATTTATTTTACCCCTAAAAGAGCTCACTGACTTTGAAGACGTCTAGGACATCTTAAATATTCCCATAATATGCCTCCGCAAAAGCTCATCTGCTATTTTCTTTTCTTGAAATCTGTTGTTATGTTAAAGATGAATTGTGTTCCTCCATAATACGCACTAAAAGCAAGTTAAGTTTTTCCGATCCTCATGTAGCTTCGGAAACTGATTGTATCCGGAGTCGCAAGGACATTTAACTTTCTCATTACCAAACAAAGTTGCTCCATATGGTATAAGTATAATATTTGTAATCCCACACTTATCTTAAGCCAAATTAATGGATAAACAATCGACTCGTATCACAGCCTGAGCTTGAGAATGCTCGGCGCTTTTAATTGCAAACGAATTGAGAAAATCAGTTCAGTTTTATCAGTTTGAGCTTTTAGGTTCTCTTAAGACTCTATTACATTGTGCAGAAACAACAAATAATTGAACAACTCAGTCTTCAAAGTCTTGTTGATAATTCATAAAATTGTGTCTGTGTAATAATTTGTTAAATAATAATGATGACGTAAGAACTGTTCACTTGGCAACGTCGTGCTATTCAGGTTCGATTCGAAGATATTTTAGATGATAGGGCCGACAATTTTATTACTGTGTGGATCGGTCTGCGCTAATGGCGTCTATTTTCTGTGAGGTTACGCCAATTGTACGCTAAATTTTCAAACCGTCGATCCAAATATACCTTCTTTGCCCACCTTGGGGATGAAGTATGGAGCTCGATCTTAACGTCGTGGCGAGATCATTTCTCATATGCTTTCTCCAAACTTTCTTAGTATTATTATTTTATACTGAAGCGGATTGTGGCTATCACTTCAATCATCGATGAAACGAGTTACCTGAGTGAAAATATGATCGGAATACTGGTCACTAACTAGTGGCGGCACATGCCCGCAGATCTGAAAGTTCGGGAAGAACGCAGGAAAAATCTAGAACAAGGCACAAGAGAAACATCTTGTGGCATCTATTGAGCATTTGTCCCGAATTGGCAAGACTACGCTGTAAGTAACTATGGTCCCCACG